TTTGAGGATAAACATGCAGTAAGCAGAATAAGGTTTCTTTCATTTGTGTGATATGGGAACCATCTAATCGTTTTTACCATGGCTTAGCCTATGATATGGGTTAGAACAGGACGCACAAAGTGGTTATGCAATTTTGGAATTAAACACACAAGATTTTATAAGACATATTGTGCAAGGTCTAAATTCAGAGATTTTCCTTTGCAAAGCAATTCTTGCATGCTAACATTTTTTCTTTTTCTTTTCTTTTCTTTTCCTTTTCCTTTTTTTCTTTTCTACTTATTGCAGCTGGCTCTACGGGATGCACTTTTGAGGCAGAAGAAAAGATTGATGAAATAACCACAGCACAGCAGAGGAGTGTCAGAAATGACAGTTTGAAAAGTAAAAACTGAGAGGACTGGAGAAAGACAACTGAAAATGATGAACTGTAACCATAAACCGATTTCATTCACAGGATAATTTAAAAAGATACTTCTATCCATTACATGCACCGGAAAAATATGAATGGCATTCAGCTATTTTTCTCAGCTCATGACAGCCTTCGAAGATTCGTTTCAAATATTCAAAAAAAAAATGAATTTTTTGTGATTTGTGTTTTGGCATTTATAATCCAATCTGAGTAGTGCGTTAGCTTAGAGGTGGAGTTCTCGCCTCACAATCAGGAGGCTGTGAGTTCGAATCCTAGGGAGAGGCAGATTTGTCTCTCTCTGGGCACAATGAGAATATATCTGCTGAATATAACTCCGCATTGGTGACAGGAAGGGCATCCGGCCAGTAAACACTCAGCTCCATTCAGTTGTCCAGACTCCACAGAGCAAGGGATTATGGGGTCATTAGAAGAAGAAGAAGAAGAAAATTATGATGATGGTTTATAATCCAATCCAAATCCTACAAACTGCAAAGGGATTGTTATGCAAGGAAATAAGTACCTCAGAACCGCACCAGCCAACAAATTTATATAAAGAACGTAGCTTGCACATGACTGTAAAATATGGTTTTAAATATATATGAATATATATATATATATATATATATATATATATATATATATATATATATTTCCTCCTCATTTATTGACTAAACCATAACATGAGTTGGACTGGCTGACCTAACCCAAGAACCTTTTCACAGAAACGGTGGGAAGGGATTGTAGAGATCATCTATCCCAGGGGTATCAAACTTGAGGCATGCGGCCATATCCGCCACGTGGGGTGCTTAGAGCTGGCCCGGAGGGCTGCCCTGGAAACAGTCCACCCTGAGGTGCCTCTGCCAGCGAAAATGGAGCTTAGGAGGGCCTGGCAGAAGATTGCAGGAGGCTGTTGCAGCCAAAAATGGAGATCAGGAGCCGGGTTTTCGCTGGCAGAGCGCTTGGACCACCACAGGCACCTCCCGACACGAGTGACATCAAGCTGGCCATGCCCACCCAAGCCATGTTTCCCCCCTCCCCCCGCCCGAGGTCAAACACAACCCTGATGCGGCCCTCAATGAAATCGAGTTTGATACCCCTGATCTAGCCCAGGGATGTCAAATTCGCATTGTCACGGCAACGTAACGTGACGTATCAGGACATTTTTTTCCCCTTCGCTATACGGGGCATGGGCGTGGCCGGCATGTGACACATCTGGCCCGCAGGCCAAGAGTTTGACAGCCCTGATCTAGCCTAACCCTCAGGACCATTTCTCGACAGATGATTCTCAAGCCTTCGGCTGAAGACCTATTTTATGTCCTTATGACAATGAGTTGCCTATTTCACTGTGTAGGACAGGGGTCCCCAAACTTGGCAACTTTTAAGACTTGTGGACTTCAACTCCCAGGAGTTGAAGTCCACAAGTCTTAAAAGTTGCCAAGTTTGGAGATTTCTGTTGTGGCCTGCTGGCGGCTGGTGGAGCCGGCAGCAGAGTCGGACAGTAGTGAGGAGGTTGGGAAGGAACCCAGGCCATTCCTGCAGACTATGAGGAAGGTTCGGACGAGGGCTCTGCGTCGGAGGCAGAGATGGGGCCAGGGCAGGCTGGCAGTTATCAGCTGCCTTTGGGCATGGACAGCAGTGAGGCGGGGGAGCTTCTGGAACCGGTTCCCAGCCTGGGCATATGCAGAGCTACCAAAAGGAAGGCACAATTAAGAACTCAGGGTCGACGTAGGAGTAAGGCCACAGGTGGACGATGAATGGTTCCTCCTATCAGGATTAAAAGAAGCAAAATGGGAGGGGGCTTTTGCAGGAAACAACTCGTTCGTTTGTTCCAGTCTCGTGAGGATTTATCTGTGTAACCCAGCCCTTCCCTGCCAGCACTGAGTGTGGAACTATTTACCAGGCAGCGTTCTAGGATTGATAAAGATCTGAGCTAATTAGTATACCTTGGCAAGACTGTTTGCCAAGCTGTTGGTTGACTGAATGAAATAAATTCACATTAATGTAATAAAAGAGGTTTTGCCGGCACTCAGAATTGACTTAGTGTTTTGAGGGGAGGCCTAGGACAAAACAAATCTGGGGTAGGACTTTGTGCGATCCCACTACCTGAAGTTTAGTAGTTACATAATGCATCTTAATAACTTCTGACCTCTTAGCCTTGGATATCTCTAAATACACTTTATAGAGCTGTGAGAAAAGGGCTGTTTTAGCATTCCTATGAACTTTGTACTTTGATATAAATAAGCTCAGCGAACTCTCCTGCATGGTTTAATACAGGGATCCCCAACCTTTTCGACGCCGCGGCCCGGTTCCGACATCAGCTGGGCGCCGCGGCCCGGTACCGGCGTCAACTGGGCGCCGCCATCTTTTTATGACGAAAAGGCGCTTCCGGTGAACTTTCTACCCGGAAGCGCTTTTTTACCAAAAAAAAGATGGCGGCGCCCAGCAACCAGCGGCCCGGTAAGGGTTGTTCCGCGGCCCGGTACCGGTCCGCGGACCGGCGGTTGGGGACCCCTGGTTTAATAAATCGACTCCATTTATTCACATATTCATATTCACTACAGGAAGATGAGGTGTGAAAAAACACTTGGCCAGCTATTGTGCTTTCATAAAAAATTAAAATGCTTTTAGCTTGCTATATATACTTGGCCCATCCACTTGCAAGCTCTCTTCAAATGACCAGGTGACTCTAGCCCATAATAATCTTGAGCATCTCATAATGCTGTATCCCATAATATCCTCCCAACCTGTCCATGTGGTTAGTTAGAGAACTGGAGATTCACCTTCATTAAATCATGAGGATTATATACTGAAATTCATTAGTGTGTAAATGCAGGGAGTGTAAACTCCAAATGGCCAGCCACTGCCGTAGTTCCCATGGAATTAACAAAAAAATATTGCTTAAAATATGACACAGTTGTAGTTAGTGGTGGCAGGGTTTGATGACAACTTGTTTAGATTACATTGCACTTTCTTGTACTAAACATAGAGGTAAGGACACACACTTTTTAAAAAAAGTATTCATAGAATAGAACAGGACAGAACAGAATAGAATAGAATTCTTTATTGGCCAAGTGTGATTGGACACACAAGGAATTTGTCTTGGTGCAAATGCTCTCAGTGTACAACATAAAATATGCATTCGTCAAGAACCATCAGGTACAACACTTAATGATAGTCATAGGGTACAATAAGCAATCAAATCATACTAGGAAACAGTCCATATAGATCGTTAGGAAACAAGCGACAAAGTTACAGTCATACAATCACAAGTGGGAGGGGATGAGTGATAAGGAGTAATGACAAGATTAGCAGTAATAGTAATGCAGACTTTGTAATAGTTGGACAGTGTTGAGGGAATTATTTGTTTAGCAGAGTGGTGGCGTTCAGGAAAAAACTCCTTGTGTCTAGTTGTTCTGGTGTGCAATGCTCTATAGCAGGGATCCCCAACCTTTTCGACGCCGCGGCCCGGTTCCAGCGTCAGCTGGGCGCCGCGGCCCGGTTCCGGCGTCAGCTGGGCGCCGCCATCTTTTTTGACGAAAAATTGCTTTTTTTACCAAAAAAAGATGGCGGCGCCCAGCAACCAGCGGCCCGGTAAGGCTTGTTCCGCGGCCCGGTACCGGTCCGCGGACCGGCGGTTGGGGACCCCTGCTCTATAGCATCATTTTGAGGGAAACAGTTTATGTCCGGGATGTGAGGGGTCTAAATATTTTCACAGCCCTCTTTTTGACTCGTGCAGGATACAGGTCCTTGATTGAAGGCAAATTATGTCAAATTGCACAGGTAGTCCTTGACTTACGACCACAATCGAGCCCAACATTTCTGTTGCCAACTGACACATTTGTTACGTGGGTTTTTGCCTCATTTTACGACCTTTCTTCCCACCGTTGTTAAGTGAATCAATGCCGTTGTTAAAATGAGTCAGACTGTGAATCTGGCTCCCCCGCTGACTTCGCTCATCAGAAGGTCGCCAAAGGGGGATCCCAGGAAACACTGCAACCGTCATAAATATGAACCGGTTGCCAAGCGTCTGAATTTTGATCCCACAACCACGGGGATACCGCCAAGGTAAACTGGTCATAAGTGACTCTTTTCGGCACCATGGTCATTCGGAACATTCACTAAACGAACTGTTGTAAGTCGAGGACCATCTGTACAGGGTCTCCTGCTTGAGCAAAGGGAGGTTGGACTAGAAGACCTCCCAAGGTCCCATCCAGCTCTATTCTGAATAAAGTCGGGGGTGTCCTAACCCTGGAGGCTTTTAAAAAGAGACTCAGAACAAACTGTTGTAAGCCGAGGACTGTCTGTACTTGCTCTGTCCAGTCTCTTCTTGAAAACCTTCCCTCCTGCTTGAGCAAAGGGGAGGGGGGGTTGGACTAGAAGACCTCCCAAGGTCCCATCCAGTTCTACCCCCGATTGAGCGTCTCGCGTGGCGCCAGGCTTTCCGCCTTTGGAAGCGAGCGCTTCGCCCGCGGAACTCCTGGACGGATCTGCTTGGCCAGCTGCACCCAGACTGGAGCGCAACTCCCGGGCAGGGCAAGGCCAGGAAGGGGGCGGCGTTGGAGAAGCGGCGGGGCAGCCAATCCCGGAACGGCGGGGCCGGCCGTGGAAAGGCCGAGCGGCCACCCGCGGCTGCTGCCCCGCCGCGTTCTTGGAAGCCGTCGCCGCCGCTTCTTCTTCCATGGCCGGGTCGGTGCGCGAGGGCTCCGGCTCGTTCCTGGCGCTCCTTCTGGGGCTGCTCCTGCTGGCTTTGCCCCACGGCGGGGCCGATCCCCTCCGCTCTCCCGCGGCCCCGCTGCGCTTCAACGTCAGCCTGGACAGCCCTCCCGAGAGCCGGTGGGACCCGGTCGCCCAGCACTTCGACCCGGCGTTCATGCGGACCGTGCTCAACCACATCATCGAGTGAGCGCTGGAGGACGCTGCGCGGCTGGACGCGGCTTTCGAGGAGGAGGAGGAGGAGGAGGAGAGGGGCGCGCTGGCTGGCTGGGAACGGCCTTCAGCGGAGAAAGGGAAAGTGGGAGAAAGTTGGATCGGGACTTTCCTGGATCCTCCAGAAATTGACAGCAGAGCCTGGCACCTGGCACTCTCTCTCTGTCTCTCTCTTTCTCTCTCTCTCTCTCTCTCTCTGTCTCTCTCTGTCT